AAATCTTGAATATAAAAATAAAGAATCACAAGTGGACTACATTGTTTTCCCCTCATAAATATTAGTTATTTATACTGTAAAAATAAAAATATATAAAAGTGGAACGACATCACAAAAAATTAACGAAATGTGAATTTCTCATGTCTGCGTATATATATATATATTTTTGTCAGCTTCCCTTTTTCTTTTTCTTCTCTTTTTTCTTTCTTCCTTCCCAGCCACCTTTCTTTCTTTCTTTCTCTCTCGTCTCTCTCTCTTTTTTTTTTCTTTTTCCTTTGGTTTTTCTCTGCCGTTCCGTCCCTTTCTTCCTCTCTCTTCTATCTCTTTTTGTTTTCTTTTTTTTTTCTTCACTTTTTCCTTTTGCATTTTTTCTCTTCAGCACCACAGCCCCTTCTTTTTCCTCCCCATTTTCCTCTTCTCCCTTCTATTGAGGCCCATTTAATTCAAACTCATTTAATGTAATATTTCTCTTCGAGGTTTCAAATTTAAATTTTGCCATATTTCGTCACTTTTGCATTCTTTTTTCCAATTCTTTATTAAACATAAAGCTTTACATACAAAACACAATATAAGATAAATTAGGTAGAATTTTATCGAAAATGTAATAAAATATCATGATTTAGGGTATCAGATAAGTGTAGAAACTACACTTATTAGCTGCCCATCAGCAATTAAAACACTAATGATACAATATAATACATATTAACAATTTATAAGAAGATTAAAGTTGAAGTTACTAATTACGATACAATGTTGTTTGGTTGTGTCAGCCGGTCCACGATTACACATGGAAGCAGATCAACAAAAAGAAAATATTAATTTTCATTAAAATTTATAGAAAAATACAATTAAAGTGAAATTACAAGCTACTAATTGTTTTTGTGACGAACTTTTAGGACAACTACAAAATCAATTACATTTCAAATCCAAATATAGCATCATTACTCTCTTTATTTTACTTATAATTAAAATGAACTTGTAGACTTTTAATTGGTTTTTCCACAGTTGAGCCTGATTTGTCCATTGGTGCCAGTAAGTGGGCTAAGGTTTCCCATTTTCACCATAGCACTTGCAAAATCATTGAGAAAAGCAGAGGAGTTTGAGCTATAAGCGTTCACTTGAGAATCAGTGGAACCACCACTAAAGAGCTGCTGATCAGAATGCAAAAGCCCTTTCTGGCTGAGCAAATTCGTGAAATAATTGTTATCGAATGACGTTGGAGTGACATTATCAAGCGGCGAAAGGTTGTTGTCGCCACCGCTGCTCGGGCAGTTTGCTTGCAGTGATGTTGCAAACGAGGCATCTATGTTGGTTTCATTATATAGTCTGGGTCGAAAACTCGTGCATCTTGCTTGGCCTATTGTATGAGCACCTGAATAAAAATTAATAGAGCAAACGATCAATGATGGAATATGACTAGCCATATAGGTAGATTGTTTAAATAGTAGTATTAGTATATATACCTGAAAGGGCTACCATCTCATTGGCTGTGAATCCTTTGTTAGAGAAGGCAGAAATAAGGCCACTAAGATTCAAAGTTGGAGCTGGGATGTTGCTGTTAGCAGCACTCAAAGATGCGGTGGTTGAGTCCCTTCTTCCAAGTACAACTGACCAACTTGGGCCTCCCAACTAAAATATCAGTCAAAACTTATGGGTATATTAGAAACTGTGCGCATTAAAAGAAAAAAAAGAGGAGGAAGACAGAGAGTTGCTGTGCTTACAGCAACGACAGAATCCCGGGCAGCAACAGCCAAAATATCTGCACAAGAAACAGTGGCTGGACAAGCATTCTCAACTTGCGATTTAATGGTGTCTATCACATCCATTCCTCTCAATGAATTTGCATTCGCCCCGGCCGTCTGTTCTCCAGTGAAGTTGGCCGTGTCATCGAGCAATACCGATGCATCGCAGCCCTGTTCATTCATTTGTATTTCACCTTAATCAATCACTATCAATGACAATTATATAAAATTTTTAGAGATCTTTCATTTTGTTAATTAATTTCTTATTAGAAACAATCTTCTACCCTTATTATCATGGAAAACTTGTCGGAGAGTCTTGTAACATTAGGTGCTTGTTTTTGTGGGGATTAAAATAAAAATTTTAATCTAAGTCGATATTATAGGAAAGACTGAAATGAAAAGTAAACAAATCCTGCGTGGAAATTCCTCTACCAACATGCACCTCTAGACCGTTGAAAACTAAATTTAAATAAATGAACGTGAGAGTTTAATATTATACACGAAATAATTCCACAAAATCAATGAAAGAAGCAATTAAAAGGAGATCAAAAAGCTAAGGGCGTGTGAAACTTGCATTGACAAAGCAATCATGGAAGTGAAGACGAAGCAACGATGCTCCCATGCGAGCCTCATTGGATACTGCAGAGTCAACTGCAGTTTTGATAGTGGAAAGTAGATTGGGACACGAACTCGAATAGAAATTGGAAGACAATTGTGCTGAGGATAATCCAACCACAAGCACAAGTAGACTTAATCGAATAGCAGAAGCATTTTGCATTGCCATAGAAGAAAAGGATTTAATCATAACCATAATTGATCAAAGATTAAGAAGAAATGTACAGGGTGCTCTTAATTATAATCTAAGTGTTTTGTTTATAGGCTCTGCCTTATATTTCCATGCATTTATATAGTAGATGATTGGGAAGACTTATGTGCTGTGATCCATTTTGTTATTTGATTCAGTCAAACTTTAAAAAAAAAAATAAATTACATATAGATATTATCTTATAACGTTAAAAGACTCATATTAATTTTATCTTTTTCAATATTGTAGGCGAGCCTTAGTGTAAAATATATATGAAATCCATGAATAACTCCAAAGAAAATCCCCCGTCAATAAATTTGGAATCGACTATAGTACGATATAAAAGAATATAAAACATCGCTGAATTTATTATTATTATTTTATTTTTTTTATTATTATGCAAATATGTCTGGATCAGTTTACGCGCACCTCGACTAATTCCACGAGACCCTGAAGTTTACGATCAGGTACTTACCTTAGTGGCCCATGAGGGGACTCGAACGGGTGATTATTGTGTAGCAAATTCAAGACCTGATTAATTGAACAACCTCTCAATGTTAACATCGCTGAATTTATTTATTGAGGGAAAGTTGTATGTAACTTGGCTTCTTGTATTGCTTTCTAGGAGGTCAAAGTAACTGACGTTAAGCAATTAAGAGATTTGGTGGTGAAGTTGACATGGCGTTAGCATTTCACATCGTAGGTATAATCTGAAGAGCAAAAGAAAAATCGATATGTATTGGTTTACTATTATTTATTAAAATTATTCTGTTCGAATTTGACGTCAGTATTCGAGTTGAATATTATAGAATTTTAACTTCTTCTTAATTGGAGAATGGGGTCAAATAAGTCTTTATTGTAGACAAGCAACGTAGTAAGCGCCTGTTTGATCGCTATTTTTTTTTTTCCGTGAAAATGGGCCCACTTCTTGTGTGAAAAAAAAAAGACGCCCACAACATTTGACTATTCCAATGTTATTTGATTTTGTCAATTACCATTTTTGTCATTCATTTTTGTACAAGTACAAAAACATGTAGGGACAATTTTGTCATTTTACACTCCCATATTGAATGTCAATTCAAATGATCATTGATATGTGTCGATAATTATAGCAACCAAGAAATCCACTGCAGAGCCAAGATTGAAATTTTTATTATAATGGGGCGAGATTGCCTCCTAGACAAGAGCTAAGTAAGATTGAAAGAGGTGATGATGTATCGTCATCAACTAGGTTGAGGATAGGTCTCAATCAAAACGAGACTCAGTCTCGGTGCCTAGATGCATATCAAACAAAATCAATGTGATTATCATTACTTTTATATATATAATCGGGGACTTTTCATAATCATCTTTATTTGAATTTTGAAATGATCACGTGGTTCCTAATGTGCTGTTGTCCTAAGACATTACTTGATTTTAAGAAGTATAACAACAATAATAAAAGTTACTATCGATCTTTTATAACATTGAAATACAAATGAAATTACATAATGTATTCCTGAATTACCTAATGTAAAAGTGCATTTTGAATACCCTCTCTAAATATAAAATACATTTTATTTTAAAGAGTTCATGTTTAGAGCTTATTTGGGAGGGATTTTTGGGGAAGAATTGATTTTGAATAGTGATATGATGGGAAATGTGTGGTTGAAAAAGAAGAAAAAATTATTGAGGTGATGGAAAATATTATTTTATTGGAGAATGTATGGTTGAAAATGAGAATTGATTTACTGTAGAAAAATCTAAATTCCTCCCAAACAGGGCCTTAACAAAGTTTTGGAGACAAACTTAGTTTTTATTCTTAATATGTAATGATTACATCTATTTATCTACATAGAGTTTTGTTTGGTGTACAGGTAGGGGTTCACACCGAACACACACAAACAGGAGTAGAGTGAGTATTTTTGGGGTGGTTTTTTAATGGGACCCGCCTCATGTAAGAGGCTAGGCTCTGCCAGGCCTAGCAGATGAGCATAATTCTATCTACATATTAAAAGGCCTGGTAGATAAGCATAATTCTATCTACATATTTCTACACTCCACTTACTAAACTATACAAATCGTATTTAAATAGATTGATAATTGACAATTAAAAAAATGTTAAATAAATAATAAGAAGAAATTAATAAATATTTTCTGAAAAAAAAAAGCAGAATCCAAATAGAGAATATTGTTGAAAAATGTATAATAATATCTTACTACCTCATCTGGTCCAAGATTTTACGTACTTTTCAAAGTATGATAAATAAAATGCTTCCAGAATAAGAAAAGCAGCTACTATTTTACAAGTCGCCCATTGGCTTAACTTAAATATTCTGTTTAAACCACTTTTACAATGTCAAAAAGCTCAACATGACATCAATGTAGAAACAAATGTAAAAACACCATATGACAAGATATGTGAAAACACTGTGTTTCTGAAAAAAATTAAAATAAATAAATAAACAGAAGACTCCATGAAACCATTGTATATAATTCATTTTATAAATTTAGTATTTTATTTAAAGAAAACATATTTATCTTAAACTCTAATTACTTTTAGGGTCCGTTTGACTGCAAATGTAAAAAATAGATGGAAAGAAAATGTTTTACTGGGAATTGAATTGTCTAGAAATTGTTTTACTGTGAATTGTAATTAATTGTGTTTGACTGTTGTTCGTTTGACTTCGTTTTTTTTTAAATATAGAAATTGTCCATTAAAGTGATAATTTTTAATACCATTGTATCAAGAATTTATTTCCATTGTAAAAAAAAAAAATTGAAAAAAAAATTACTATACAAAATACCATTCGTTTGACTTTATTTTGCATATAAATTGTCAATAAAAGTGAATTTTTTTTAATTGTCGAAAAAAAAGGCCTAAGAACCTGAAAAATCAACTCCAACCAAAACAACAAGAAAATGTTTTCCTTCAAAAGCTGGAAAATGTGGAAAGATGGGAAAAAAATTTCGGGGAAAATTTTGCTAGCAAACAAGTGCAAAAGTTGGAAAATCTATGGAAAAGTCATGGCTTAGGACCCTGTTTGATAGGCAAATGTAGATATGAATTTTAATTTCATGTTAGTTGGAAAATAA